TTTTGGATGGCAGCCAGTGACAAGTGGAGTTCTGCATGGGTCCACGTTGGGAGCACAACTATTCACGTTATATATTAACGATCTGGAGGAAGGAACTAAGGGCATTGTTGTTAAGTTTGTAGATGATACAAAGCTGGGTGGAGGGACAGGCAATGTTTAAGGGGGGGATGCTGCAGAGGACTTGGACATGCTAGGCAAGTTAGCAAAGAAGTGTCAGATGGAACACAATATGGGAAAGTGTGAGGTCATGCAGAATATGAAGAATAGAGGCATATTTTCTAAATGGGGAAGAGCTTCAAAAATCTGAAGCACAAAGGAACTTAGGACTCTGCAAATGTCTCTTATGGTTATGCAGGTTCAGTTGGCAGTTAGGAAGGCAAATGTCAGCATTCATTTCGAGACGGCTAGAATATAAGAGCAGGAAATGTACTACTAAGGCTGTATAAAGCTCTGGTCAGACAACATTTGGAATATTGAGAGCCATTTTGGGCCCCATATCTAAGGAAGAATGTGCTGCCCCTGGAGGGTGTCCACTTTACAAGAATGATCCCAGGGATGAATGGCTTGTCATATGCAGACTCAGGGTCTGTATTCAGTGGAGTTCAGAAGGATATGGAGGGATCTGACAGAAACTTACAGGATACTGAGAAGCCTGGAAAGAGTGGACATGGAGATAATGTTCTCCACTAATAGAAGAGACGAAGACCCGAGGGTACAGCTTCAGAGTAAAGGGATGATCCTTTAGAACAGAGATGAACAGGAACTTCTTCATCCAGAGATTGGTGGATCCACGGAACTCACTGCCACAGAAGGCTGTGGAGGCCAAGTCACTGAGTGTATTTAAGACAGAGATAGACAGGTTCTTGCTTAGTAAGGGGATGAAAGGTAACGGGGAGAATTCAAGAGAATAGGGTAGGGAAATGTATCAGCTGTGATTGAACAGCAGAACAGACTCAATGGGCCAAATGGCCTAATTCTTGTCCTAACGCTTATGGTCAAACTATGGTTTATGGGGGAAATTTGTGATAATAGATCCAAGGAACAGGCATACAAATTGGACAGAGAAAAAACAACAACTGAGGAATGGGAGCAGTTTTAGAATTTAACAAAGGAGAGTAAGCTTGTGGGGAACGTAAAAACTGATTTTTTTTTAGGTGTGTGAAGAGAAAGATTGGTGCAAACAAATGCATGCCCCTTACAGTCAGAATTACGGAATTTATGGGAATATAATATGAATTAGGAGCAGGAATCAGCAATTCAGCTCCTCAAGCCTATTCTGCCATTTGATACGATCAATGGCAGATCTCATCTCAGTCTCAACTTCACTTTCCCGCCTGCTCTGCATAACGCTTCAATCCATTACTAATTAAAAATGTCTACATCCTCCTTAAATGTACTCAATGTCCCAGCATCCATCACACTTTAGGGTACTGAATCCACAGATTCACAACCCTTTGAAGGAAGTATTTTCTCCTCATCTGTTTTAAATCTGCTACCCCGATCCTAATAATTAGTAGGACAATAGTATTGGGGAAATTGACAGGATTGAAGGCTGAAAAATCCCCAGAGTCTAATAATCTACATCCCAGAGTATTTAAGGAAATGACCCTCGAAAGGATGCGTACATTGGTGGTCATTTTCCAAGATTATTTAGACTCTGGAACAGTTTCCACAGATCGGAGGGTAGCTAATGTAACCCCACTATTTAAAAAGAGATGTAGAGAGAAGATCAGTCAACCCAATATCGGTAGTGAGTAAAATATCAAAGTCCATTATAAAAGGTTTAATATCAGAGCAGTTGGAATACTATGGCAGGAGCAGACAGAGTCAGCATGGATTTATAAAAAGGAAATCGTGCTTGACAAATCTACTGGAATTTTTCAAGGAATTAAATAGTTGAGTTGATCAGAGGAAGTCAGTGGATGTGGTTTATTTGGACTTTCAGAAAGCTTTGAACAAAATCCCACGTAAGAGATTAGTATGCAAAATTAAATCTCTTAAGATTCCAGCTTGTGTATTGACATGGATAGAAAACTGGCTGGTAAACAGAAAACAAACAGTGGGAATAAATGGGTCTTTTTCCAAATGGCAGGCAGTGACCAATGCAGTACTGCAGAGTTCAATAATAGGAACCCAGCTACTCACAATATTTAGGAATGATTTAGAGAAGGAAAGTAAATGTAACATCTCCAAATTTGCAGATGACGCAAAGCTGGGTGGGAGAGTGAACTGTGAGGGGGATACAGAGATATTTTAGTGGAAAGTGGATAAGATGAGTGAGTGGGCAAATGCATGGTCGATGCAGTATGATGTGGATACATGTGATATTATCCACTTTGGTAGCAAAATCAGAAAGGCAAATTATTATCTGAACGGCTATAAATTGAGCAAAGTGCACTGAGACCCTGGTGTCCGCATATACCAGTCACTGACAGTAAGCATGTAGGTGGTAAAGAAGGCAAATGGTATGTTGGTCTTCATAGTAAGAGGATTTGAGTAAAGAAGCAGGGACATCTTGTTGCAATTGTACAGGGCCTTGGTGAGACCATACCTGGAATATTGTGAGCAATTTTGGCCTCCCTATCTGAGGAAGGATGTTCCTGCTATAGAGGGAGTGCAGTGAAGGTTTACCAGACTGATTCCTGAGATGGTAGGAATGATGTATCAGGAGAAGTTGAATCAATTAGGATTGTATTCACTGGAGTAAATGAGGGATCTCACAGAAACTTATACAATTCAGAACTGGCCAGCATAGATGCAGTAAAGACATCCCTGATAACTGGGGAGGACAGAACCAGGGATCATGGTCTGAGGATACAGGGTAAATGTCATACTGTAATGAGGAGAAGTGGAATTCACTACCACAGAAAGCAGATGTTGACAAAACATCTTATGATTTCAAGAAGAAATTAGATATAATTCTTAGAGCTAAATGGATCAAAGAACAGGGGGATAAAAGCAGGAAAAGGGCATTGAGATGGAAGATTAGCCATGACCATAATAAATGAGGGAGCAGGCTCTAAGGACCAAATGACCTACATCTGACCACCTAGAAACCGATATCCATTTCAAGCCCACCAACTCCCACAGCTACCTAGAATACACCTCCTCCCATCCACCTTCCTGCAAAAATGCCAGCCCCTATTCCCAATTCCTTCGCCTCCGCCGCATCTGCTCCCAGGATGAGGCATTCCACTCCCGTACATCTCAGATGTCCTTGTTTTTCAAGGACCGCAACTTCGCCCCCACAGTGGTCGAGAATGCCCTCGACCGTGTCTCCCGCATTTCCCGCAACTCATCCCTCACACCCCTTCCCCGCAATAACAACCAAAACAGAATCCCCCTCGTCCTCACGTACCACCCCACCAACCTCCAGATACAACGCATCATCCTCCGACACTTCCGCCATCTGCAATCCGACCCCACCACCAAAGACATTTTTCCCTCCCCACCCTCATCTGCTTTCCAGAGGGACCACTCTCTCCGTGACTCCCTTGTCTGCTCCACACTCCCCTCCAGCCCCACCACCCCCAGCACTTTTCCCTGCAACCGCAGGAAGTGCTACACCTGCCCCCACACCTCCCCCCTCACCCCCATCCCAGGCCCCAAGAAGACTTTCCACATCAAGCAGATGTTCACCTGCACATCTGCTAATGTGGTATACTGCTTCCGCTGTTCCCGTTGTGGCCTCCTCTACATCGGGGAAACCAAGCGGAGGCTTGGGGACCACTTTGCAGAACACCTACGCTCGGTTCGCACTAAACAACTGCACCTCCCAGTCGCGAACCATTTCAACTCCCCCTCCCATTCCTCAGACGACATGTCCATCCTGGGTCTCCTGCTGTGCCACAACGATGCCACCTGAAGTATGCAGGAACAGCAACTCATATTCCGCTTGGGAACCCTACAGCCCAATGGTATCAATGTGGACTTCTCAAGCTTCAAAATCTCCCCTCCCCCTACCGCATCCCAAAACCAGCCCAGCTCATCCCCGCCTCCCTAACCTGTCCTTCCTCTCACCTATCCCCTCCTTCCACCTCAAGCCCCACCCCCATCTCCTACCTACTAACCTCATCCTGCTCCCTTGACCTGTCCGTCCTCCCTGGACTGACCTATCTCCTCCCTAACTCCCCACCGACACTCACCTTTACTGGCTCCATCCCACCTCTTTGACCTGTCTGTCTCCTCTCCAGAGATAACATGGTGTAGAGCTGGATGAACACAGCAGGCCAAGCAGCATCAGAGGAGCAGGAAGGCTGACGTTTCGGGCCAAGACCCTTACTATCTCTGTCTCCTCTCCACCTATCTTCTTCTCTATCCATCTTCTA